ATCGAAGAAAAAGCAGGTCCGCAGGCGCAGACATTGTTGATGCCGTTGTTAGTAATATTGATAAAGTCTTATTTACTCGAGTGATTCTCAAGGGAACCTAAGTATTAATAAAAAATGCTGACATTTTCACAACACACGTCACAATGCAGAGTGTGGTAGAAAGGCGGAAAGGAATAAGTTTGATAACAATAATTGCAGCACGCCTTAGAATGCTAAAAGCTGTGGAATCGAGACAATAGTAAAGAAACATATTTGTAGTCAGAAGATTTATCTTTGACCTGCGATTATTTCCTATCGACTGGTTCCGCTTTTTTCCTTATAAGTTTGGTGAAGCCCATTAGATCTAGTTGCAGCGATCGTGCGCAAAAGAAATGCACATAAGACCATATTAAACTCAAATTGGTTATTTTTCTCATTTTGTGAACTTCTTGATGAAGTTGTGATCTTATTATTACTTTTTCGTGGCGGTAGGGTAGGGGAAAGGGGGAAGGGGGGAGGTTGTGCCGTAGGGAAGCATTAGAATGGAGTATTCCAGATCTTCAGGAGATGGGTAGATTTCGTTAAATAATTTTTACTTTAACAAAGATTTAGTAATAAGATTTAGTAACAAAGATTTAACAAAGATTTAGTAATAAGATTTAGTAATGCATCTCGTTGACAAGACAAAAAATTCGATTGTCTTGTCAACGAGATGCTTTACATCAAACAATTAACACCGAGTTTGAAGGTGCAAACGGATTCTATCCGTGCTAAAGTATTTGTGTAGCTACCTCCCCTATGCAAACTAGATGTATCTCTTGAACTCGCATTTGTTAATTTTATTTTCATTTTGTACCCTTGATAATTTTTACTTTCTTTTCTTTTAAAGCATGCAAAGAGGCTTTGGGTCTTGAGGATGGAAGGATCCCAGACTCAGCTTTTAGTGCCTCCTCTGTCGAAAGGCATGATACATCTCCCCCTCGCGTTCGTCTCAACTCCGACACGGCATGGAGTGCGAGAACTGATGACAACATGCCCTGGGTTCAAGTTGACCTTGGAAAGGACGCGATGATCAAGAAAATCGCTACACAGGGAAGACGTGGTTCCTACAAGTATACAAAGACTTACACGATTTCATCGCGTGCCGATGGAGAAACTGACTTTGTTATGTACAGAGAGGACAATGTTGTAAAGGTAAGACAGGTGCTGGCATTTGAATTAAGTTTCTTAGATGAATGAATATAATATTGGCTTTTTTCGTCAGTCTGTATCCTGAAACCATCAAGCCTAAAAAAGTATCCTGCGGTTGTTGTGTTGATATTAAAGCACTTTGAGAAAACTTGTAGTTATCCATTCCTTTATTCGTTGAAGTAATCAACGGAAGAAAATCTCAATGAATCAGTTGAGCTATCCACAAATCAGCCAATTAGCTTACACACATCAAATTCTATTGCACTTGTAGGTATTTCAAGGAAATATAGACGCGAATACAGTGGTTTTCAATGTGCTGAAACAGCACATTACGGCTCGTTTTGTAAGGTTCTGGCCAAAGACTTGGGCAAGTAGATACAGAACGATGAGGGCAGAGCTGTACGGCTGTTTCCTTCAGTAACTTAATTGTAACTTAACGAAGAAATGAATTCAAGTTAGCTAGGGTAGCAGTATGTGGTTGAAATGCATACCTCAGATAGTTAGAAATTTTGAAGAGTACAAAAAATTATATCACTAGTCTATTAATAAAATAGAGTTCGATGATTGGAAAATCATGTAGCATTGATTGGTGGAATTATGCACAGGAGTAGAATTGAAGATTTGCTGGTAAAAATGCACTGCACTAATGATATCGTTGCAACTAAATATTGACAAGTGCTAGTCAGTTATCGTAATTACGTACCAATGCTTTTGCAACAACTTGTAATAAAATATATTTCATGTGGTGTACACATTAAACGCACATATCTAACATCCTGACAGAATTTCTCGCTCAAATGATTACACATGGATAAAAGTCTGTCGTTAGACTTATGCAGCGTCCTATAATATGACAGTGAATGACAAATATTGTACCAGCTTTGATTTCAGTTTCAATAATATTTAGAATTTTCGCGTATTTTTCCTGACAGAATATTTTCGCGTATTTTTCCTGAGAGAATTTTCTGTTCAAATGATTACACTGGGATAAAACTTTAGTAGTGCATATTTTTGCAGTTTCCTAAATATGACAGCGAATAGAAAAACTTATATATGCTTTTGTTTTAATTTTTAACATTATCGTGGTCCAAACATTTCCTGATAATGTAAAGGCACCCTGCGACTTGCTCGATTTCGAGAACATCTTC